TCCTTTCCCTACCTGCTTTTAGTGCCTTTCCCCCTTGATGGCTCCAAAGGGGAGCTGTGCTGACTGTGGCCTAGAACCCAAGACCCTGAAGAAAAAGGACATGTGACTGGAAACCACCTGAGCCCAGGCAGAAACAGAGTGATTAGGGAAGAGAACTCAGCTTTGCAGACTGCCTATGTTAGTGGGTGTAACTGCCCAAGTGAATGCCCTAATCCTGTACTACTAGACTTCAACTAGATAACTAGAAACTGGGGCCTCAAGTGATGGAGGAGAGGGGGACCTAAATATCTCTTCATGATCCAACTTACCTGTCCACAGGTAGGTGCTGTAGAGGGAGCTGTACAATAAAACAAACACCAGAATTTGTCCAACAAAATTTTTTTCTTTAACAAAATGCCATATCATCATTCCAGCACAGACAACAGACTGAAGAAAAAATTATAAAAAAAACAGTCAGTCATACTCATATGACTCATACTCATGTGTTTTATTTACAGCAACTATAATTATTCATTTAAAATTATTACTGAGTAATTAACTATTGCATTCTAGTTATACTAAAACTTCGAGTTTTATGATTAAAAAACTTTTTATACAGAGCCTTTAACAAGCCTTTCTATTTAATTGAAATAGATAATGAGAACATTCTAAATACTAACCTTATATTTAGAAAAGGTTTACATAGAAAATGTAAACTTCTTTCCTTTATGATTTGAGACATGCAAAGATTTAACTAGAAAAGTAAGATTATGAGAGTTTAATTTGTAATGATTCAATTATTTCTATTAAAAAATGCAAAATTATCACTAAATGTCACTAAATGTCATTACAGTTGTCTTTCTGTATCCATGGAGGATTGGTTCTAGGACACCCCCAACAGATACCAAAATCCAAGGATGCTCAAGTTCCTTATATAAAATTCTGTAGTATTTGCTTATAACCTATGCATATATTCCTGTATACTTTAAATCATCTCCAGATTACTTATAATACCAAATACACTGTTAATGCTATGTAAATAGCTGTCGGCATATGGCAAATTCAAGTTTTGCTTTTTGGAACTTTCTGGAATGTTTTTTCTGAATATTTTCGATCCATGTTTAGTTGAATCTGAGGATATGGAACCCATGGATATGGAGGGCCAACTGTATTAGCCTCAACTTTGTATAGTTCAAGACACACTGCAGTATTTAATAAATCAGGCATAAATTAGTTATAATCAAATTGTAATTGATTGTATTTGGTAAAAAAATACTTTTGACTTTATACCTGGAAAAACCCAACAAAGCGATTTTTTCCTCTGTAGTAATATAATCAATGAGAAAAACACAGCTTTAATTATCTGTAGGTTTACTAACCTGAGCGATGAGTAAATTAGTTGTAAGCATATGAGGAAGCTGTTTATACTTCTTGCTCAAAAGGAGAATAGCCAAAGACCAGATCTTAAACACAGAGGTTCAAAAGTTACTCAGGTTTCTTAATCTTTATAATCACTTATTAATTATTAACTTTTATTTTATAATTACTTTACTAATTACTTACTAGCCTCTTTAAAGAATTCTCTTATCCTGGTTCAAAAAGGAATTGCAATATTTTATTTACTTTGACTTGTGTAGCTCCCAAAAGGGCATTAAGGTAAACTAATAGTAAAAGTAAAGTAAAATAGAAAGCATGGAGAGATCCTATGGTAAATTAACTCCAAAAATGACAGAGTCTTTAAGAACTATTCCTTGAACAGGGAGGGCCACGTTCCAACTATCCCTACCTTTGGTGGCTGGTGTGGGACACAGGCTCACAGACAACTCTTCAGGAAAGGAGCTTTAGTGGGAGACGCAGTTATACTGCACTATCTTGAAGTTTCCCTTTTTGATTCCACCACATTGGCTTGTGAGGTATCTAAATTCCAGGCTGTCTTACTTCAAACAACACATGTCATCCACCTTAAGATGAATTTTCCTGCATTCTTTATATTTAAAAGGATACCCAGTAGTCAGCTACGTATGCTGGTTTGATTTCCTTCTTTCTTCTCACCTCATTGTCAATCAAAATTTATACTGTCTCTCCCCCTACGAAACTGCCCTCTTATCAACGGGCATCATTTTTTTTTTTTTTTTTCCTTGCGTTATGCGGGCCTCTCACTGTTGTGGCCTCTCCCATTTGCGGAGCACAGGCTCCGGACGCGCAGGCTCAGTGGCCATGGCTCACGGGCCCAGCCGCTCCGCGGCATGTGGGATCCTCCCGAAACGGGGCACGAACCCGCGTCTCCTGCATCGGCAGGCGGACTCTCAAGCACTGCGCCACCAGGGAAGCCCCAACGGGCATCATTTTTAAGAAAATGTAACAGAAGCAAAATTTCTTAAAAATTACATTCATCACACATTTATTTGTTGCCAGTATACATATTCATCCTTATCTCCTTTCCTTTAACAGCAAAAGTTGTCTTTTTATTTTCAGCCAGAATACTGTTTGAATTCAACAGGCAACTCAATCTACAAGATACTCTAGTTGCCAAGTATATAAGTATTTAATTTGAGCTAGATATATCCAAAAGTTTCATTAACATTAAATGGGTGTTTGGTCTTAATCCCAAAGATCCCTTCCAACAACATGATTCTACAATAGCTAGTATTTATATAGCAATTCACCACTTTCAGAATGCCTTTTACATATATTGTCTCATGTAATCCTTAAAACAAACCATGGAAATAGGTAAAATTATTATCTGTATTTTATAGTTGAGAAAATTGAAGCTTAGAGAGGCTTAGGTAACTCCACAGAGAAATAACAGCTAGTTTGTCATAGGGCCAGGAGTCAAATCCAGGTTTGACTACATCTCATGCCTTGTCTGTTATACAACTCTAACTCCCAACTGGAAAGACAAAACTCAGAAGGCTGATACTACATTTTATGGGTAGGTTTTAGCTTTCTGTATTGCATAAGAAATTATATTTTTACTCCCTAACTTTCTGTTACCAAGCTATTCTCAAATTCATTCTGTGATTCTCATTCATTTTTACACTGAAACATACTTACCAAGGAGACCAGACTGATAATACTTATATCAAAACTAACATTCTGGATGGCATATGCCAATGGCTTCGGGTCCATGGTGGGAAAAGTCAGTAACCAGGCAGAGACGTACATGATTGGCGCAGACACAAATGTGCTTATTACCATCCCTGAGGTTATCTGCAAAAAATGAAGTCAAATTGAGGAAGAGTCACAGACTCACTTAAAAAATTCCCGTAAACTTTAGCCACAGCACATTAAGGCATTCTAAAATAAAAGCAGGAGTCAGTAAAGAGACATCACAGAATCCAGCATGTTATCTAGTATCATATTCCCCTTTTCTTAGAGTTCTTAAAAGAAAACACAGTTAAGTTCCCTTGGCTTCTCTTCCAGTCTATGCTCAACTTATATTTGCATATAACAATGCTAGAAATCCCACATCTGATGTTTATCTCCTAGATTCTAGAAAGTAAACCATATCAATGATCTACTTAAACTGATGACCAGTTTCCTTCCATACTATTTCATAAAATATAGGGCAATAAAAGCAATTTCAAAAAGAGAAAAATTACCATGCAAACATTCTACCGATTAAATAATGGAACTAAGCTTTGGTCAACAATTTAGTTCCTTCATGTTATATTTCAAAAACATCTGCTCTAATGCTGTAGATAACATGTATAGTATGCTTAGACACTAACTGATGTTAACTGATTTAGCTATTTATTGCAGTTGATTATGTGGTATTTTGCATCTGGTGGTTGGATTATCAATGAATAAATCAGATTTTTTCCCCTCAAATTTCCAAAGTTATCCTTCTGTAAATAACCTTTAGGCTTAACTAAAATTACAGCATTAAAATACTTGAAACTAAAAAAGACTAATGAAAAAAGTCATGGCTGAATAAAGACCCCAGATTAAATAACTCACTTGTTACATGATGTAACACAATGTCTCTTTATTTATAATGAGGCAATTTATAGATATCAAATTCTCATAAAAGAATGTAGATTTCTGTGTTTTAAAAATTAATTTTTCTACTAACCAAACAATCAAACTTAGAAAGTAATATATACATACAATCTCTACTTCCATGTTGAACTGTGTTGCAAAGATAGCCACTCCTGGTGCTACAGGAAAGACACCATACAAAAATGCATAATTCGATACACTTGCATGGTTCACTACACTGTTGCCCTTGTCCAAGAGTTCCACCATTTCTCGGCACAGAAGTGGCAGCACCAGGCTGAAGAAAAAGGAAAGGCATCATTTGCTTGGTATCAAAGTATGCTGGTCCCCAAATAGTAAATTGCTCTAGTGAACTTGGCATTAGGTTATTCTTCTCCTGCCCAGAAGGTATCATTTTATTGAAAGAATAAAAAATTTAACTTGGAGCTACTTAAAGTAAAACAATATTCTAGAAATACTTCAAACATCAGGAATTAGGAGGAAAAAAACTAATTTTTTTTGTTCTATGAATAATTTTCTTGCAAAAAATCTGTAAAAGTTGCAATTATAACCACTGTTTCTTTTTTTTTTTTTTTTTTTTTTTTTTAATTATTCATTTATTTATTTTTGGCTGCGTTGGGTCTTCGTTGCTGCACGCGGGCTTTTCCCTAGTTGGGGCGAGCGGGGCTACTCTTCATTGCGGTGCGTGGGCCTCTCATTGCAGTAGCTTCTCTCGCTGCGGAGCACGGGCTCTAGGCACGTGGGCTTCAGTGGTTGTGACTCGCGGGCTCTAGAGCACAGGCTCAGTAGTTGTGGCACACGGGCTTAGTTGCTCCGCGGCATGTGGGATCCTCTCAGAGCAGGGCTCGAACCCATGTCCCCTGCCTTGGCAGACAGATTCCCAACCACTGCGCCACCAGGGAAGTCCCTATAACCACTGTTTCTTGCTTTCCCTATTAGTTCATTGAAATGTTAAAAGAAAAAAAGAAGACTGACAATCTGCGTAAACTTTTTCAAGAAAATTACTAAACTCATTCTTGGAAAAAAAAAAAAAGTGGACCTTTATTATGATTAGAGGTTTAAATGGTTCAGGTAATGATAACATGCTACTCAGTTAGATTTCAAAAACCAGTAGAGAAACAGGTATCTTACAATTAGCTCTTTATCTTAATAAAGAAAAAAGTTTAGCAAAGGGAAATGAAATAACTGAGGTAGACCAGAAAACTAATGAAATCCAGATCTGGTGAAGAGTTAATTATTAAACAAATCCTCCAGGATTCCATAGAAAGACCATATCAACAGTAGCAAGTTAATGGAGCTTTCCTTTAGAAAGAACAAAACCAAGGTTAATGTTGTCACAGCAGCACCTACAGACATGCTCTCAGATGGAGTAAAGAACTACTCTTATGTGTTTTTTTTTTTAATTAAAAGAAGAAGAAGAAATTATGTAATAGGGATCAAAGAACCAGAAAAAAGATTTTTAAAATGAGAATATTTAAATACTTATAAGTAATGGTTGGTATTACTATTATTGTTAGAACCATATTTATTGCTGTGAAAAACTAAATAAGGGACTTCCCTGGTGGTCCAGTGGTTAAGACTCCACACTTCCACTGCAGCGGGCATGGGTTCAATCCCTGGTCGGGGAACTAAGATTCTGCATGCCATGCAGTGCAGCCAAAAATTAAACAAAAAAACTAAATAATACTTTATTTCCAAGAGCATAAAACCACTATAAATAATCTTCAGAATTTATATTCATTTTTATTATTTTGAAAATATAGATACTATTTCATATTGCACTGGTCTCATGAATTTAATTGTCTACACAAGAGCTAAATTCAATAGTTAAATATGCCCCAAGTGCCTTGGGATAATCTTGTAGTAAAATTATGTCACCTTTACCAGGAAGTATAACTCCACATCTAAACAGCTAAGGAGGCTGAAGGAACTATCAACTAAGGAGCTAAGAACTTTTCATTTACAGGCTAGGATCAGATGGTTAATAATAATCATTCCTACTGACTTACCTATATTCAGCCACCCTCAGAATTTTTGAATATTTCCCTCAAATTCATGAAATAGAAGTTTATATTCAAAATTATTGTTTTCATCATGGCCAATAGGATTTTAATAAATTTAGAAAACTCAGAAATCCTGCAAAATTCCTTTAAAAATATGATCAAACTAGGACACTGGAAGATATTAAGTAAAATTATATAAAAGCTGAATGGAGGGTTTCCCTGGTGGCACAGTGGTTGAGAGTCTGCCTGCCGATGCAGGGGACATGGGTTCGTGCCCCGGTCCGGGAGGATCCCTCATGCCGCGGCGCGGCTGGGCCCATGAGCCACGGCCGCTGAGCCTGCGCGTCCGGAGCTCCGCAACAGGAAAGGCCACAACAGTGAGAGACCCGCGTACCGCAAAATTAAAAAAAAAAAGCTGAAGGTAAACCAATAGTCTTTATCCTCTGACAGTAAAATGTAAAGAGTAACCTACACGGAAATGACTTTCCACAATATACCAACATCACATTTTCCTTTAAATTGTAACTACTCAATTAGGAGGGATTACTACTATCAAACTATTTAATGGAGAAAATAGAGACATATCCCAACGAACGGGCTAAATAAGGCTTTCACCAAGTACAATCCCCAAGTTAAATAAATAAGTGAAACTTACAGTTTAGCTGTGATGAGAAGAATTAGTACAACAAATGCTGACTTCTTCAGTTTCTTTATTTTTCCTACCATTGTAAGACCAAGATAAAATAGAGCTGATCCAGAAAAAGAATTCGCAAGTCCATCAAGAAAATTTTCCATATATACGGGGACCTTTTGATCAAGAATAAAATTGAAAGCAATGCCAATGAAAACCATAAATACTATTGGGTTCTGTAACACACGCAGAAGTCCAAGTCCCACAATTTTCACTTTGTTTTGAGAAGCATTTGGAGTGTCTTTCCATCTCTGCATTTCACAGAAGATAAACCCTATAGGGTTTAACATCATAAGAGATATTGGCGCCACTAAGTAAATGTACTGGAGATACTCTGGGTATGTCGTTTGATATAAAGCTTCAACTGCAAAATACAAATTAAAATAGATTTTTAAATGGTTACCACAGAAATATATTAATAAATTATGAATGTAATGTTTTCCATGCTTAATTATAACATATTGTAAATTAACCTAAATAATGTAGAATGACCTCATTACCCTAGTTTTGGAAAAGTATGTTTTAGTAATGAAGCTGAAAAGGAAAAAAACCCCACTATATTAAATGACATTTAGCTTATAAAATGATAATCAACTTTTAAAAAGTATTTTTAGTAAAACCCACTAATTGTTACTACTTAGAGGCTAAGACTAGTCTCAATAAAGGGGCAGAATTGTAGAATTCTTAAAACAATTCAAAGTAAAAATGTTTAAGTAGTCATAGCAATAAGGTGGTTGTTGGTTCTCTTGAGAGGGAAGTTTCATTGGAGTGGTGAGGCAGAAATCAGAGCACAGAGAATGCAGGAGAGAGGAGGAGATAACAGACTAAAAAATGAGCACTGAGGGACTTCACTGCTGGCACAGTGGTTGAGAATCTACCTGCCAATGCAGGGGACACAGGTTCGAGCCCTGGTCCAGGAAGATCCCACATGCCACGGAGCAACTAAGCCCATGCGCCACAACTACTGAGCCTGTGCTCTAGAGCCCGTGAGCCACAACTACCGAGCCCACGTGCCACAACTACTGAAGCCCGCGCACCGAGAGCCCGTGCTCCATAAGATAGGCCACCGCAATAAGAAGCCCGTGCATCGCAACGAAGAGGAGCCCCCGCTCGCAGCAACTGAAGAAAGCCCGTGTGCAGCAACGAAGACCCAACGCAGCCAAAAATAAATAAAATTAAATAAATTTATTTAAAAAATGTTTTTTAAAAAAAAGAGCACTGAGGCGATGGAGTCCAAGCTATATAGGAAAAGAAGTGAAGATGGGAGATGGCTAACAGAGAGCAGAGTGGTTAGAGACTGGAGGTCCCTGTGAAGTTCAAGAAGTAGGTGTAGCTGGAAGTTAAGAGTTCACAGTAAGTCAGATAGTGAGCTATTGAATTTAATATTTCCCAGATGACTGGGTCCAGGATGTGGCCATGGGAGTTGGTGGCTGAAGTGGAGTACAGGAAAACATCATTGGAGGTGAGGAGGTCAAGGAACTGAGAGAGCAGAGAATTTGGTGGGTAGTTCACATGGATGCTAAAGTTAAACAAGATAACAAGCAAAACTTGGGAGTAGAGAAGATGACAGTGGGCCAGATATTAGTCTTCAATGAATGAGGAGGAATGACGAGTGAGGTCAGCAGATGACAGCAACGAGGATGAGCAGTTTAGCAGGCAGCAGGAACCTCAAAGGAGCAGTTTTTACAGAAGAGAGAGAATAATCGCCTAGCAGTGGTACACAGTGGCTATGAGGATGCCAATCCTGCCTACCCACTGCTCACATGGTATGCAGGCGATGAGAAAATGAGCAGTCTCCATTGGAGAGGAATGAATACCTTCAGGAAGGAAGACCAGTGAAGATGCTGAAGAATTAGAGATGGAAAGGTGGATCTAAGAAATGTTTGGGAGGGGAATACAGTAAATTCATGTTAACGCACATTTAATGCAAATTCAACTACACTGTCTTAGGAAAACAAAGGCTTCATTTTTCTTCCTCATAAAACATGTCCCCAAGTGCAAACTAATTACTTGTTCATTGAAGAAGAGCAATGCCTGCAGAAGAATCTGGCTATTAGACTTATGAGAAATGGTACAATATACACAAAGTACAAGTGCTGCATCTTGTGGGTGATTTGAGGGATTTTTCAAAGGTTCAACTGCATATGATGACTTTAGAACCTAACCATTGCATGAGATGAGTCTCCTTGGAAGGGGATGGGTTGGATCAGACTTCTAGCACTTTCTTGGTTCATGTGAGGGTTGGTGGCCTGGTCTTGGCTTGACCAGGGCAACTTAGAGCCTTGCAGCATCAAATTGGTCTCAAGGCACATTTTTGGCAATGAATTCTGAAATTATTCAACCTAATATATGCAAAGCCTGATTCATAAATGATTTCAAGTTGAGAAAGACAGATAAAATAAGAACAGCCACAATCACTCACAATCACTTGCTTCACAAGAGAGGCAATCATGTGAAAAAATGTAAAAGATTAGGTTTCTCAATTTACTTAAGATAAAGTGACACAGGTAGGAAAATATATTTGTTTGCTTACTCCTGAGTAAGTTCAGTTACATAAGTTCAGTTAATGTCAAGCACATGTCCCGTTAGTTATGAAACTAGATTATATAACCTTTAGAATACCTTGTTCTCATTAGCTAAAAGCTACTTTTTATAAGATTCAATTCCCTTTTCTTCAACTAAGCACATACAGAGGTCTCTAATATCTCTGAAATGTTAAACAAAATATATTTGATTACATAAAATTTCACAAATTCTTTCCACTGATTTCCAAATTAGATATATAGCTCTATATCTCAGTGGTTCTCTTTCATGTTTCATAAGGTTTCATCCTTTAAGTAAAAAAAAAAGCAGCACTTTTGATAACTATTTCTAGTTAGCTACACTTCTTCTGACTAGATATTTTAGCTCAAAGAGAAAGGTGTCTATACCCACCCCTCAATTTTTAAAATAGAGAGTATATTTTAGAAAAGCCTTGTGTTTTCAATCTGAGCCTAAGAATTTTCCCAAGTAGCCAAAGTAAAATGCATAAGGTATTTCCTTTGACAACTTATAGCACACAAAGCTTCTTAAGTTAATGCCTTTTTACCAGAAATGTACTTTCCTGGTACAGTAGCACATAATCACCATTACATAATGGACTTTGGGTTGTTTTAAATGCTCAATGCAAATTTGAACAAAAGGCTATATTTAGGCCTAGCCAATCACCAAGTCCTTTCTTCTTTTGCATGATCTTTCCTATTTGATTCCTACTTGGAATCTTGATTCCTGCTACTCCCACTAGTCAGAAATCTCAAAAGTGGGTTACCTACTCTGTTTTCCAACGTATACTCTTCTGGTTTTTCTTGACCATCCCCTTTATCCATTTTACTTGCTACCAACAATATCACCTAAATCTTAACTTTCAAAAATTAAGATTTTCCCACAGCTCTCCCTGCCCACAAGACCACATATAAAATCTTTCTTTTGACATTCACAATCTAGTCGCCACAATTTGTTCCTTATCTATCCAGCTCACCTCTCACTATACCTTAGTGCAAAGCCTCTATCAGCCAGTTTATATCACTGTAATGCTGAATAAAAACCAGGTTCATAATTTCTAGTTCTACATGCCGATCATCATTCCCCAACTTCATCATCCCCCAACTTCTTGAAATCTCTCCTTTCTTACCCAAATCTTGCCTACTATTTAAGGCCTGTCTCAGGTACCACTTCTTCCATCGAGTCTTCAGTCTACATCCTGGATCTCTCCTTCCCTGGATGGCTCTGGTACCTTGTGTACTTTTTGTATCGGTGCCATCTCAACAAATTCTAAGTTCCTTGAAGGTATCATTTTATAACCCCCAGTCTCAGCTGAGTGCTAAGCAAAATCTGAAAATACTTGCTGAATGGAATTAACACATCAATGAATGTCAAAGGTTTCAGACAGACTAAGAATGTGTTTTGTAACATAGCAATTTATAACTAATTGTTATCCATGAACCCATTTCTTTTTATATCCAATTTTTTTTTTTCATCTTCTGAATATTTATAAAGCAGGCTACTATTGGGGTATTTTAAGTCAGTTGAACAGGTATACAAAGGCAAAAGAAGTATAGTCTAGTGAGAAAGCAAAAAATTGGGAATAAATACTTGTTTAATTACTAGAATAGGGTTCATATGGGAATTTCAGTTCATTCTGCCATTCATTTGCATAATTACTTAACATTCCATCTTTATAAATAGGCAGCACTATTTTTTAAATTTAATTTTATTTATGTATTTTTTATACAGCAGGTTCTTATTAGTTATCTATTTTATACATATTAGTGTATATATGTCAATCCCAATCTCCCAGTTCATCCCACCACTCTCCCTCCCCCGCAGCACTATCCTTTTGTTATCAATCTGAGTATAGTTTTTCAAATCTGAAAAATAATTGAAAGCGGTTATCCATATTAACAAATTAGATTTATAATCATTGTATCAACTATTAAGTTCTAATTAATACTTATAAATAAGGCTCTTGGGGGGGAGGGGAGAATCCCACTCTGAGGAATTATTATATAGCTTTGAAGAACTAAGAGACAAAATTAGCCACCCACTGTGGCTCCTATTTTGATTACTGCAGGGTTTCAATCCCTAGCAAATAACACAAAGACCCAGACAAGATCATTCTATTATTTAATGGCATATAGTTAAATGCTTCATTTCCTTTCTGTTTACAGCTCAAGCACTAGAGCATAATTATGATTAGTCAGGTGCTTATGCTATCAGCATTGTTTAAGAATGAATTATAGCACTTAACTATGCCCTATTGTATCTTTTAATGACAGAGGCAGGGAACCATTCTAATGTGCTAAAATCCACATTTCACCTCAGTGGAGTCTTGGTTTCTTCTCAAACTCGGATTTCTTAAAGTACCTCTGAAAAGAATTGTTTTTAAAAACAGCAAGCATGGGTTTCCGTGGTGGCACAGTGGTTGAGTCCCGCCTGCCGATGCAGGGGACGCGGGGTTCGTGCCCCGGTCCGGGAGGATCCCACATGCCGCGGAGCGGCTGGGCCCGTGAGTCATGGCCACTGAGCCTGCGCGTCCGGAGCCTGTGCTCTGCGACGGGAGAGACCACAACAGTGAGAAGCCCGCGTACTGCTATTTTTTTTGTCTGCAATGATGCAATGTAGTATTATGTCACTTGAGTATAGATAAATCATTAATTTATTTATTTTTATTTTTTATTTTTTTTTTGCTGTACGTGGGCCTCTCACTGTTGTGGCCTCTCCCGTTGCGGAGCACAGGCTCCGGACGCGCAGGCTCTGCGGCCATGGCTCACGGGCCCAGCCGCTCCGCGGCATGTGGGATCCTCCCGGACCGGGGCACGAACCCGTGTCCCCTGCATCAGCAGGCGGGACTCTCAACCACTGCGCCACCAGGGAAGCCCAAAATAAATCATTTTAATGCAATTTCATAGACCATTATAATTGTAGTATAGAGGAAAAGTAAACACAGACTGTCCTTTTTCTTTAATCACTAACTTATCTCTTCTGAGTCACCTGTAAATTGCACCAATGTTGTAGAACAAATGCAGTTGTAAAAAGGACATTTCCTTTAAGCTACCATGCTTATCTGTGAACTAGAGAGTAGGAATTCTAGGGAGGCCACAGAACAAACAGAAAGAATGGTCTTCTCTCTAGAGACATCCTCTTCTCTGTTCACCCTGAGCATAGCCAGAAGGCAGATGGCTATGAACAGCAGTAATAAATAATCTCATTGGAGCAGATACATGGCCCTAGTTCTGTACCACAGCTTCCAATCTGCAGATATATGAAAAAGCACTTCTGTGTATACTGTTGGTTTCTGGTAAAGTTATTGTCTACAACCTAATGTCACAAGAGCTCTTACATTATCTGTGATTTAAAATCAAACAAACAATTACAACTCAAAATCTGCAAGCATAATCATCAGGGGAACTGGGCTAGCACACTGCTGGGAACATGATTATTACCAGATTTAATGTGGGACATGAGAAAAGCAGCAATGAAAATGGCTGACTATATTTTTTATTTGGAGATTCTGCCTTAATATGAAAATGGATAAACTCATCTAACAGGTCTTTTTCCACTGCTACTCATTTTATGAATTTTTTTGAATAATGTAAAGATTATGAAAAACTTTGATTCTCTCTGAAAATAATGTATTATAAGGGCTAGCTGGGTCTTCTGATGATCAACTGGGCATGTTATATAACTGTGTGGCATAAGAGAATGCCCAGGATTTAAATCTATGTTTGGGTCTCAGTCACCTGTTAGCTGTGTGACCTGGGGTAAGACAATTAAATCTCTGTAAGTCTGCCTTCTTATTTGAAAATGAGGATAATAATATCTGCCCTACCTCAAATGAGATAAGTATATAAGAAAATACTCTTATAAAGTTACAAATGTTAGTTCTATTTAGTTATGGGCTTACTACTCTATGACAGCATGAAACTTACAGTTCATGTCCAAATTAAGATATAGCACTATTTATTAAATATTTAACACTATGATACTTAGCCACTTCTAAGGTCCTTATACCATCAATACCTTGACAAATGTACATTATTAATGCTCCTGAAGAGAGGGACAACACATTAACTCCTTGCTCTTTTATTTCCAAAGTCTTTATTTAAATGCTTGGCTCATCCTTTAATTTTAAAATTGATTAACCTTAAAGGAACACCTATCTAGTTTCTGACTATTCACAGCTCAGTTATCTAAGAGCCTGGTTTTTCCTCTCTCATAAACCTCCTATTCATAGTTATATAATTTCTTAGGTATATCTCTATTTCTGGTAAGCAATATAGAGGAAGAGAATGATGAAAAGTATAGTCCACTAGAATCCTTTTGGTGCCAGAGGTGTAATAATTTTTTTGGGGGGGGTGGGTAGTTAAAAGATAAGAAATTTGAAAGTTAATGGCAGATTTCAATTGCCCATTTCATTTAGTTTCATTCAGTCTCTGCTCAGAAGATATATCACCAGAGGCCTTCACTGACCCTGCTCCCCACCTCAAATGCCATCTCCTTGTAAAATAACACTACTTTGTTTTTATGGCCCTTGTCATTACCTGATATTATTTTTGTTTTTATTTTATTTTCCCATTAAAATGTAAATTCAGTATGTACAAGAACTTTGTTCACAAGTGTATTCCCAGCAGCTGGCACTGTCACTGGTACTAACAGGTTCCTATGAATGAATGAAGGAATAAATGAATGACTATATCCATAATATTCAGATCCCTACATTATGATACATGATCAAAGCAAAACATAAACTTTAAAAATATTAAAAATTCATAGAAAGTACATTGGTAGATGCCAGGGGCTGGGGGCTTGGGGGGGGAGTAGGGAGGGGGAACGGGAGTTAGTGTTTAAAGGGGACAGAGTTTCAGTTTAGGAAGGTGAAAAATTTGGGAGATGGATGATGGTGAGAGTTGTACAACAATGTGAATGTACTTAGTGCCACTGAACTGTACACTTAAGTATGGTTAAAATAGTATGTTTTATATTATGTGACTTTTACCACAATAAAAAAAATTTTTTAAAAAGTAGTTACTAAGTATACATTTTCTTGGTGGCAGAGAGTTCTGGAAAATAGAATATGTTTCTAAGATATCTCAACATCCCCAACTAGTATGTTTACTATTTCATCAGGAAAACATATACACATAGAAACATAAAATTAGGCTGTTTAAAGGGTTGGAAAGTTAAAGAAGGAAAAGTTGGAAAGGTAAAAAAAGTCCTCATTTTGTCCTTAAACAAGAAATTAACTTCGACCAAAGTACACTGATACGTTGAATAAAAAACTCAATAACAAGCATTAATGTAAAATAATATACATTCTAGATGGAAAGAAAAATAAGGAAGGGAAAAAGTCACTCATAAATTTCCACTGCTAACATTTAATAATGACAGTTTTTAAATAGGTGTATGCCTATGCTTTTTACATAATTTAAATCAGAATCTGATCTCTTCTGGAAATTATATTTCTTTCATATGTGATTATTGAGAAGAAAAAAAATACTATTAGAAAGATGACTCAAAATTTATTTGGATATGACCATTTATTTCAGGTAGATGTTTGAAGGTGCCTCAAACTCTGAAAAAATATAATTCATCTAACTTAAGACATGTTTAAGAAAAAAATATGAACGATTTCTTAGATATAAGAATAAGTATAAATCACTAACAAATGCTTAGTTAAAAGATTCAAATTAAAGCCTTACATTTTGTTACCTTCTAAAAGACCTGAAATTTTTTAAAACTTAAAAAATAAAAAGTAACTTACCTATAGGATATCCCAATGCAAAGTCGTTACTTTGTGTAGCAAAAATAGGGAATAGTCCAGCTTTGCTAAATCGACTATCGGGACTGGCAACCAATAAGGTTAATACACATACAATGAAAAATACAGAAGCTTTGGCAATTAAGATACTATATAGAAAAGACCAATCCACATTGGAAAAATTAAGTACAACCATGTTTTTGAATAATAAAGCTGGAAGTGCAAACCTGGAGACAAAATTTCCCAGTCCTTTCGCCTGTGTTGATGTTATAACATTGGCCCTTCCTGCTATGTAGCCACAAAGGACTATGCCAAAGCATTCTAGTAAGGCTGGGAAAAGCCTTGTTATTGACATTGAAGGTGGGTCATTAGTGGAATTAAATCCATGTGTTACCGGTGAGGACAAAGTCTTGGTCATATTGACTGCAATGGTCAAGTTCTTGACAGGTATATCAGAAAAAGAATTCATTTTCTTTCACCCTCCAACTCCAACCTGATCTCTGGAAAGAAAGAAGAAAGATTCAGTGTGAAATCAATGAGAAGAATTCTAGCTGAAAGGATACACTGGCAATCATAGATTTATTAAATGGCCAAATAAATACACAAACTTTTTTCAACAACCATCAGAGAAAAATACAGTGAATAATAAAATGGGTGGAAGTGTCTGCTAACAACAGCCTCTTGACTCTCAAAGGTGGGTCAGCTCAAAATATTTATGTTGCTGTCCTATATTCAGTACCAGATATGAGTAAGATAAGATCCACAGTATTCACAGCTGTAATGATGCCCTGTGGTCCTCTCCAGTGCTCCACAGTCAAGCTCTGCCTAGTGGATGAGAGAATGGCACCCACAGAGTCTACTGAATGTCCACCTGCAGCTAAATTTTCCACAAATTTCAGAAGTTCTCAGGGCTACATCTAAGAGTCACAATGGACAGGAAGGTCCTTCCAGCCTGCAGAAGGACTTGACTATAGGATAGGAAGAAGAGTGTAATAGAATATCACTGATCAACTCTGAACCAGTAACTTACTTTTCTGTACCTCCTTTTCCTCATCTGTGAAATGGCAATAATAGTACCTACCTCATAGGAATTTGATATTATTCAATATCAAGTCCTTACAAACACATCTGGCACAAATAAATCACTTAACAAAAGTTGAATATAACTTCTGGTGGCATATAAGAGAGAGAATGAAAGAAAAAATGATGGCATCCCACCAGCCTACTCTTAGTTCCTTTTACAACCAGCCAGACATATTGGCTGTCTTGAATTCCCCATAGTCTTCGTGCCACAGGGGCTTTGCCCATGCAGTTCACCCTAAAATATTCTCTTCCCTGCCCACCCACATAACAACTATCCATCCTCCGAATCATATCCAAATCAATTCAGGAGTCGTTGTATCAGGTAAGGCTCCTCTAACACCATAGCCAGGCCAGGAGTCTTTCTCAAATAGAATCATGTTCCTTAACTTTAGGCCACTCTTCTCAGTTTATAATTATACTATATATTAGAGTGACTGTGTGATTTATGTCTGTCTCCTTCACTAGACTTTAAGTGCCATAGAAGCAGGGACTATGCATGTTTTTGCTCACTTTTGTGTCCCTAATGCCTAGCACCGTGCCTGGAGCACACAGGAGATTTAGGAGACTAAAATAATTACCTGCTCTTAAATAAACCTTTCACCCTTTAGTGGATCAATGTTCTTTCTTAGGAACTATCTACTTCATGGACAGAATTTTGTTTTTTTGGTTTGTTCCTGAATGGTAAGTATTCTAAGTTTTTCACCAAGGCCACAAAATGTGTGCCGAAATGTTCCAAAGCTGTTCATAAAATGTTAAAGAACACAAAATGTCTTATAAAATGTTCTAAAGATGTTCAGAAAATGAAGCAAGGAAAACTTTACGTTAATATGACAATACTCACCAGACTTTCCTCTTGCTGCCAGGGACACAATGAACATTAGGTTTGAACAACTCTGCAACTAACCAGCTTTTATTAGTAACTTGAAATTGACATAGTGACAATTGCCAATTCCTAAGTGATTATTCTGGATTAACCATCTAAAGTAGCCTTATATAAGGTAGAAAGTAAAAAAGCTTATGCTTTCTGAAATGTATAATGCCCAGGTTAAGTTCTCAAACACCCACATCACATTAAGGACTCAGATGGCAGGCCAAAGACCAACAACTGATACAACTGGGGGTGTGGCTGAGATAATTTTCTCTGTGCTACCCTGGTATAAACTGAACCATTTAAAAACATTACATTTAATCTGGATCAGGACAAATATTTTCCTCCTAGAATTAGATAGGAGTGGTCAATATACACAAAACCTGTAATACTCACATACTTGACGTTTACCAAATAAGTATCAAATTATATCCTGAGAAGGCTGCTGATTGGTATAGGTACCCATAAGTGAAGTAAGGAGCTGGTAAACAAGTGAACAAAGGCGTTAAACATTCGGAGCCCCTGAGAGATGTGGACTTGAAAAGGCAGTGCTAAAGATTAAGGTGATAAACTACTCCAGTCTTCTGTTATTTTTGAAAAGTTCCCTATATTTCTTTGCTTGGAGCATTATAACTTAACACTGCTCCCTACCTCTTATTTGTACCACACTTGCATATCAATGTATTCCAATAATTTTTAAACCAACAGTTTTAACTAAACTTGCAGTTGTTCAGTGAAAAGAGTCAAATGGCCTGAACCCAATTTAGGGCCTATCACTTATCACCTCTTTGGGTAACTCAGCCTCTCTGCCCCATAGCTTCTTCAACTGTAAAATGAGAGTAAAAACCTCCTTAGAGGGCTATTGTGAGGATTGGAGCTTTTTTTTAATTTTTTTTTTTGCGGTACGCGGGCCTCTCACTGTTGTGGCCTCTCCCATTGCGGAGCACAGGCTCTGGACGCGCAGGCTCAGCGGCCATGGCTCACAAGCCTAGCCGCTCCGCACCATGTGGGATCTTCCCGGACCGGGGCACAAACCCACGTCCCCTGCATCGGCAGGCGGACTCTCAACCACTGCGCCACCAGGGAAGCCCCAGGATTGGAGCTTTTATACACAGCTTATCACAAAGTAGGCCTTCAAGAAGTGGTAGCAGTTGCTATTAGGAGTTGTGTGTCCTAATAAGAAGAAGAATGGTAGTAAATTAAATATAATTCATTGTTCTATGCAGTTCTTCAAACATACTTGGTATTAAAGAGCCTCCAACTAAAACAGGGATGGGATGGGTTGTAAGGTTATCAGTTTTCATTTTATACCAAACAACTAAGAGGAGTTCAATTTAATTTAGTTTGATCTTAGTTGTTAGCAGGGAAGGGAGAGCTCTTTATTTCCCTCAAGCTGACGGTCAACAGCTGAAACAAGGCCCAGGTTTAACTTTCAGTTAGTCAAAAATTAAGAGAAAAACTTTGGAAAGTAATCTTCCCCTTCCCATGAAGTTTCTTTTAATGTTCCTTGATATTATAAAAGCAATATCTGCTAATTGAGGGGCAGTCAAAATAACCAAAAAGGACTTAACAAAGTTTTATCTCATCTTAAATTTTTTTCTACAAATACAAAGTTTTATCTCATCTTAAATTTTTTTCCAACAGGAAGAGAATATACTTCTTTTTTTTAAAATAAATTTATTTTATTTTTGGCTACGTTGGGTCTTCGTTTCTGCGCACGGGCTTTCTCTGGTGGCGGCGAGCGGGGGCTACTCTTCGTTGCGGTGCACAGGCTTCTCGTTGAGGTGGCTTCTCTTGTTGAGAAGCAGGGGCTCTAGGCGCGTGGGCTTCAGTAGTTGTGGCTCGTGGGCTCCAGAGCGCAGGCTCAGTAGTTGTGGCGCACGGGCTTAGTTGCTCCGCGGCATGTGGATCTTCCCGGACCAAGGCTCAAGCCCGTCCCCTGCATTGGCAGGCGGATTCATAGCCACTGCGCCACCAGGGATGCCCCGAGAATATACTTCTTAAAGCATTCTTTTAAAATAAACAGGAGCGGGCTTCCCTGGTGGCGCAGTGGTTGAGAGTCCGCCTGCCGATGCAGGGGACACGGGTTCGTGGCCGGGCTGAGAAGATCCCACATGCCGCAGAGCGGCTGGGCCCGTGAGCCATGGCCGCTGAGCCTGTGCGTCCGGAGCCTGTGCTCCACAATGGGAGAGGCCACAACAGTGAGAGGCCCGCGTACCGCAAAAAAAAAAAAAAAAAAAAAAAGTTGCCTTGTCACAGTAAAAGACCACTCACTGGGGCGGGAGCAGAGAAATGCTATACACCAGCCACTTCTGGCCACTCATATTTCGTTTAGATAACATGGAGGAACCACTAACATTGTAAACAACTGCTATTAAGTGAAAATGGGGAGGAGGGTTCTGACGGGTTTCAAAGAGAAAGCTTTAAACTCTTAAGCTATTTCTCAAACACCCAATAACCTTTAGCCGGTGGGAAAAGCATAATACAGTGTGGTCCTATTCAAGCACTCTTCAACACCAGCAGTCACACCATCCACCCACTCCCACTTACTTGCAGGGGACCAAACGTCTTCCCTAAAGACCCAGAGTGGTGAGGGAGTGCTGAGCACCTCTTCTCTTGTCGGCAGGGACAGACTTTGGCCCTCTAAGATAAGGATGTAGAGAATCCGTAACCAAATAGGCCGCCTAAAGAACAGCTGCCACCCAATGCCTGGGCAGGCAGCAGTGGAAGTGTAAAGGCAGCCTGGGTTCTGTACCTGGGATACAAAGTTGGTCGCTCAGCTTCCCCAGGGCATGGCAATCACAAAGCATGGTAAGTGAAATGCTCCAAAAAGGGCTAAGGGAGAAAATTTGGTGCAACGCTCCAGGTTCCTGGGCAGAAGCTCCCACGATGGCATTCACTGAGGCCACCCCCCCGGAATAAAGGGAAGAGTCTGAGAATGGTAGGGTGGACGCACGTACAATGATGTGCTCCTCAAACTGAGGGATGGCAGCTCTGTCACCAAAGGGGACAAGCCGCCCCTTCCCCTACGTAAGTCTTCCCGGGTGGCCCCGGCACGTCCTAAAGGCGGGCGCTACGGGGCAGAGGCGGGCAGGCGCAGGCAGCGGATTGCGGGCCTGGGCGCTGCCCACCTGCTCAGACTCGAGGGGCGAGAGCGGGGTCACCAAGGGCCCGCAAAGCCGAGCCGGGACCGCGCAGGTCGGCGCCCCGGGGGCCCATCTCACCTGCTACGGCTGCATCCCCGGGGCCGCGGGAGAAGGGAGTCGATGTTCGAGGTGGGCCAAGCAGGGAGGAAACCACCGTCACCTCCCACCCCAGCCCTCCTAGCCGAGAGCTGCCGGCTGCCAGCTGCCTGCTACAGCAGCTCATTCACATTCCGAAAAAGTGAGGCGCTCTTAAGCTGGGACCGGGTCAGCTCCTCCCTGAGCCACCGCCCCACCTCCTGGCCCCGCCCCCGGCCGGGGGAACCACAGAGCCGCGCCGTCCAAGGCCCCACCTTCAGGCTCCGCCTCCCGCCGCGAGACTCTACGCCGCGCGGCCCCGGCCCCGCCCTCTGGCTCCGCCCCTGACCGCTGAGACGCGGAGGCCCAAGGTCCTCCGCTACGCCAGCCTCCCGCCGCAGGCGCGAGCTTCCCAGCCGGTAGACGCCGGCGGCGGGACTTCCGGCCGTTCGGCTCCCGCAAAATGGCGGCCGCCGTGGGGTCTTTGCCGTTTCGTTTTCCTCTCCGTAAATTCAGGTGTAGAAGCCTCTTGTCTTTCCGCCTAACCCCGACCTCGTGTGGTCTGTCAAGTCCTCTCTTGATTAGCCTAGTCGTTTTTATAGCACAGTTTAAAGCAAGGTCTTTAATCGTGGGTCAGACTCCTGCCTTTCACCTTTCTCAAGGCAGTGTGACCTTGACCTTCCTAAATCAGAGACTAAAATGTCTTTAAAGCTTTAGCCCCGTGCTTGGTTTAGAATAAGCATCCAGACCGTGACTGCTTGTGTTTTCTATTGTCGGGGGAACGACATCCATATCCCCTCAGTGTACTGAGCGGAAACTGTATTGGTGGAAAACTTAATAGAGCAGGAACTGGACATATAGAACATGAATTCTGCTCCTGATCTTCTCACTTCACCCTTGTTCTCTATCTTCTTAACTTTTAACAGCTTCCCTGTTTCCCTTGAACCTGGCTGCTATTTTTTTTTTAATCTCCTGATTATATGTCAAAGCTAAAAGGATTTGTGTTTAGAAAGTATGGAGATTAATTCAATTAAATAAATATTTATTTAGCTTTGACTTTTAGCGGAATACTGGAAGATAGGCCTGGAAAAGTAAGTTAGGGTGAACCTCTAGGAAGTTCCTTAGGTTAGCCTTAGAGTTTGGACCTATCCTCTGACCACAGTAAAACCATCAAATTCTTTTTTCATGAAAACATGTCTTAGTGATCACACTATTTTCGGATATGCGATATGGAAGCTTTCCCAGGATTATCTGAAAGACTGAAAGCAGGAAAAACATGACTTTGGGAAAAACCAAGCCACGAGGAAATAAAGATGTACTCTGGGGTGGTGGTAATGAAAAGAATGAAAGAGGCTTGAGAGACATTACAAAAGGAGAACTGATGGGACTGGATTACTGATAGGGCAAGAAAAGGAAGGAGATAATGAAGGTATGTATTTGTTCATCCATCATAGTAAAGAAAAGGAATTGAGCTAGGGAGACTCTAACATCCTTATTAGTTCTAAAGTTCTACTGTTTCCTATCGTTCTCTTATCTGAAGATGAAAGGAAGAAATGTTTCAAGTGAGGAAAGTGGTTACAAGAAGATAATGAATTTGGTTTTAGGCCTAAAATCTAAAACCTCAAGAAACTTAGTTTAATCTCCTCTCTTGAAGAAGTTATTGTCATCTTCTTTATTTGAGGTCCTGGAGATTAAGTCATTGATCTAAGAACAGCCAGCAAGTGAATGAGAGTCTAAGTGCTCACTGTCCTGTGAACTAACTGCTCATGAAGGTATCAGCACATGTAAGTAGAGATTTCTAGTAGACACCTAAAGAGAAAACAGAAGCTCAAGAGAGAGAAAAAACAGAGCCAGAGGTGTGGTTTGGAGACATCTCTATGGAGTGGACAAGTAAGAGCAGCTGGCAGGGGGGACAGTGACTCTAGGAACAAAGTGTTTATGGAATCGAAGGACTTCATCAAAAAGTCATTCTTAGATAAGCAATTACTGATGAATGCCATGAGGTACTAATTTAATTCCACTATCATGTCTGCCAGTCATTCTGTGAGATGCTGACCTATATATACTGTTAACTGAAAATAGGAAGTGAAAAGCACCACACCTAAGATAACTTCTGTTAACGTTTTACTACATATGTATCACTTTTTCCTGTGCATATATAAATCAGTGAAGAAAAATAGGGTCATACAATACACATTATTTTTCATATAGATGATTTTTAGTAACCTTTTTCATTTAATATATAACCTTTTTATTCAGAAATATAGATCTGTGTCGTAATTTTCAATACCTATTTAATATTCTGTATCAAAATTTTGAGGATGATCTCCCTTGGAAAATTTGGACTCTGGGCCATCCATAGAGTCTAATCAAAGATGAGTAAAGAAGAGGAAGATAAAATAGTACAAGTGTTTAGAGTGACTTAAAATGTGTTGTTTGAATATGTCTAAAATGATTTCTAGTTTCTTTAAAACTGCCTGTCCCCTTCCTGTCAGTACCAATTTCTCCTTAGAGATTCATATGATTCCAGAGAAGCTAATTTCACTCCGCCTTCAAAGGTGATGGAACTAACCTATGCCTACCAATCAGTATATTCTGTTCGTTGGACTCAATCACTGAGTCAGGATGGGCATTGGCACCAAGGTGGTTTGATAGAATGGCTCTTAGAACATTTGCTGAGAATGCTGACGTTCTTTCCTACTGCCAGGAAGATACTGGCAGCCATCTAGAGACCATGAGAGGAACCAGTCTTAGAATGATGCAGATACCAAGGAAAGCACAGCAGAGGGAAGGAAATAAACGGGTCCTTGATGACATATTGAGCTGTAGGATCAAGCTTCACCTGGAGCCAGTCAACCTGTGGACTTCTCATTCATGTGAGCCAATCAATTTTCTTTATTGTTTAAACAAGCTTGAGCTGGGTTTTCTGTTACTTGAAATCAAATGTATAAAAACAATTCTAGAAGAAAATGCCAATAGTAATTATCTTTGAGTGATAAAAATACACTTTTTTTTTTCTGTGTAGAAAAGTTCCCAAAATTTCTACCAAAAAATGTGTATGTATTTTATCAGGAAAAAGTCTGAAATAAGTCATAAAGTGTATATTTTGGCTATATGGAAATGTTGAACCATAATAGTAAATATTTTTCTAAAATTCACTGCTAAGTATTAAACCAGGTAGGTGTACAAAATCCACCTATAAAATAGAACAATTTAAAAGCACTGATACAGTGCAATATATGAACTTACACAAGGCTAAGGCCTTGTTTTTGTTAATCTGTGTATCCCTAGCATTTATAATAGTGCTGTCTGTGACATACAGCAGCTGTTCCATAAATGGTTTTTGAATGACTGAATAAAACATAACTGCCTGCCAGCTATCCAAGATACCTTCTTTGTATTCAATGGGAATGATGGGGCTTGGGGCAGGCCGTTCCCAAATAATGCCAAGGTGGCATATGGATTATTTTGATTTAAAGTTACTTGAGAAACAGCTCATATAAGAACACTCTGAAAAAACAAAAAACAAAAAACACTCTGACCCTCCTTTGTTCCACTGAAAGCAGGAAACAAAGCTCCCATAGGAAGGTATCCTCCATATGCCCTGAGGATGAAAGGCATTGAGATAGGGAATTTGAGTCTGGGAAAGGTGTATAAACAAACTTTGTTACTCCTTCATTAATTTGCTACCCCTTTGTTTTGTCAAATCTTCACAAATGTTTGATTCTTTTTCTAAAAAGGTATGTAAACAGCCTGCTTTGTTCTCTTCTTAGGTATGTATGAAGTTAAATTTGTTTGTTTTCCTCTTGTTAATCTTCTTTATGTTAATTTGATTGTTAGACCAGTTGAAGGAACCTAGAAGGGAAAGGAAAATTTTTCTTCCCCCACAAGAAGCTATTTGATACAAGCAACTGTGGTACAGCTCTTTTATAGTGACTGGATTTCTTATTTTTTCCAGCTTTTCACTTGGCCCAGGTTTATAGCTTTATATAAACATTCTCTGAAACTATGGCTTCTGTTTGTTATTTTTTTTATTTTTATTTTTTGCGGTACGCGGGCCTCTCACCGTTGTGGTCTCTCCCGTTGTGGAGCACAGGCTCCGGATGCGCAGGCTCAGCGGCCATGGTTCACGGGCCCAGCAACTCCGTGGCATGTGGGATCCTCCCGGACCGGGGCACGAACCCGTGTCCCCTGCATCGGCAGGCGGACTCTCAACCACTGCGCCACCAGGGAAGCCCTGTTTGTTATTTTAAATGCTATAATTATTTAAATTTATGATCTGTCAAGATAAAACCCTGAAAATTATCTTTTAATTTAATATTGTGTTTTTGTAAATACATAATAACTTTTTCCCCTTTTCAATTTGCTATTAAAATATTCTTACAGGGCTTCTGGGTTGGTGGTCACATGGAGGTACCTGGAGAGTGGCTGCCAGTATCTTCTCCAGGTACTTGGAGAGTGGCTCATACCCCTTCCCACATACTGTGCCCTATGCATCTCTTCCATCTGGATGTTCCTTTGTATCCTTCATCATACCCTTTTATAATAAACTGGTAAAAATAAATATATATAGATTTTATATACACATGTAATATGTGTATTATATATATATTCTTACAAAAGCAGTGAGGGAAAATAGAATCTAAACATCTCACCTTGTTATTGATCTTATTGACTTCAGGTAAGGCTCAAATGTAGTTACGTAGGCAAGGGTTTTTGTCTGGGCCAGCACTTAAGAAGTTTTAAGCAGAAAAACAATGAAACCAGAATTAGATCATGAAACTGAAAGTTAAATCAATGATTTAGATAAGAAAGGGTGGAGAAACTATGCAATAGCTAGATGATGACTTTGGAGCCCTTCCCATTTGTCTCAGGATTTAGCTTCTTGATACTTGTGGTTTTGTTTTGATCTTTTTTTTTTTGTAAAGGGGTTAAAGATCAGGTAAATGGGAATGAAAAACAAACAAACAAAAAATACTCCTGTTTTTACTGCTACTCTGTTCAGTTAAAAATGTGCTCACAAATTTATGTAACAGGCAGTCACTCAACAATGAATCTTATAAATGTGCAGAACATTTTGTAATTTGAATTATGTCTAAGATGAAACACCATAGAACTAACAAATTATGTATGATATAAAGAGGGAGTGGCAAAAACCTCAGATT